AGAGAGAGAGAGAGAGAGAGAGAGAGAGAGAGAGAGAGAGAGAGAGAGAGAAAAGGAGAGGAGGCAGGAATAGGGAGGCCTGGAGAAAGGAGAACCACGGAGCACCATCTCATATGAGTCATAGTTGGTATTCGCTCTGCCTGCTTCTTCACTCAAGCTCCTGCTCCATTGTGAATTATGAGAGAGGAACACATACAGAAAGTTTACTCCGCCTCTGCACAAGCTGACCATTCACATCCAGGTCACCTTTAAAAGACCCCAACAATGACACGGAGGTCCCACTTCTAACTCAGCATTTCTGTCCATTTAGTGCAACAGAGTTACATCGGCGGGCGACGTTGTTATCGAGAAAACAAAAGTAATCACCACCTGCTAAACCGCAAAGCCACAACACTCTATTACGTGATCATAGTTTACAGTGTTTCCCACCTGCACTGAGGATAGCAATCTCTGGATTTAACCCAGAAGATTGTTGTCAGGTTATGGACAAGAATTTGACGATTTTACATGTGAATAATCACACAGGAGACATCGAGAATCTACCTTTCATAGAAGAGGAAGATACATTAAACTCATGTGTTAAAATCAAAGTCTTAATCTCTTCGCTCTTTCACACCCATCTGCACTATGTGAGTACAGCTCCTCCTTCCAGTGGATGCTTCAGACATGATCCAGAATCTCACATTTCACCCCCACCTCCACCGAGTAATCCTCATCAGCCTAAAGCATCCGCATTCGTCATGACTGCTGAGTGTTTACATGGTGGGCCAGGTTGTGAAGTTGGGGTGAGTCTAAACGCTGGAGACGGTATGCGCTAGAGGGGGCTCTTCTGTGGGTGTGATCCCAGCCACTACTCATAAGGAGATGACTCCACAACACATGGTTTGGATACAGATAGTATACTGTAGGGTTTATGTGGCGTTCTTCCTTTTCAGAATCAGGGCTCTAAGGAGAGAAGGAGTTCAATGATGCACAGACTTTAAAGCACTTGGGACAAACTTGTGATTTTGGGGGCGATACAAATAAACTTAGGAATATTTAGGAATTGAGGTTTTAGAGTTGATTATCATTAAAAAAAAGAACATTTCTAAGCAACAAAAATGGCTAATTCTTTTCTAGATATGCTCCAGAGCGCACTTTTATCACACACTTGTGCAAAGTGTTTCACAGTTTGCTGAGACATGCTCAGGTCTCGGTCTTCACACACCAACTGTTTACTTTTCCACTTAACACAGACATGAGAAACATCCGGCCAGAAGGTGGCACACTTCCTGGATTCTAATGCCCTTTAATGTTGTATTTAATATTTTAGCCACATGTCAAAATGTGTTAAAACTGCTCCTGCGTTGACACATCTTCCTGTGATTGTGAAGGTTTACCACTTCAGGACAACTCAAGGACTTACTGGTGTGATCAAATCTACCAGAGCTATTTCCTCTGAGGTTAAGAGACAAACACAAACGGTTTGGGATGTCATCTGTTGTGTCTCAGCTCCGGTGTCCAGCTGACTGACACCAATTCCTCTGTCCTGATCTCCTGTGTAAGTGAAAGCTTTGCTCTTCCATTAGGAGAGGTTGTTTTCTCTGGCCTCCACTCACTGGCCTCCGGCTCTGAGGACAAGGCCTCACAGCATGATGATCCCAGAGGGGTCGTACCTACATGTTTTTACTTCTGCACTGAGGCCCTGTTGGCAGGATAAACTCTCAGTTTAGACTACATCTAAAGTGTTCCGGGTGGAAAATATTGTGAACTCATTACAGCTGATAAGACAACCTTTTTTAAGCTTTACACACATTTAGTTGTTCCCTTCAGACATAATGTGAGATAAAGAATGAGTAAATAATAGAGCTTTTGTTACTGACGAGATGCTCTGCCTCGTGATTCATCCTCTATGGACTCAAACGTTTGGTCTGCCAACAGAGTGTGATTAAAGTCGCCCAGTGAAAATGCTGCACCACAGAAGTCATCACGGAGACCACAATGAGAGACTCCACCTTTTGCCTCCTGATCTTTTCCTACAAAGACAGCTGCATATTCAGGCCTTTTTTTGTGTGTCATTCATGCTAGTGACTTTTTGCTTATGAGTTGGGCAACAACACTTCTTGGTTAGGTTTAGGAAAAGATTGAGGTTTGGTGAACGAAGGAAGAGGCTTTACTTAAGTACGGAAGTTACGTGAAAATAAGTAGACTTTAACTTCTGGTTATAAACGGGACACAACCAGCGGTCTTCTGAGTGATAGTTTGATGTTTTTGGACCCACCCACCCAGCTCAGCCTCCTTCCTGTGCAGACTTTGTCCCTCTTCATACTTCCTGGTTCATCATTATGTAGATTACAGTGCATTACTTTTCGTAGATATAGATATGTACAGTGTATGGGAACAGCCTGCTTTCTTCTTAAGTACAGTGGGGCAAAAAATAAAACACTTTTTTGTAAATTAATTCAGTAAAGCACCATGAAGCACTCATTTAAAAGAGACTATATAGCTAGTGGAGGTGGAATATATGTAGCTACAGGTCATATAAACGAGGTATACCTGACTTGTTGTGGCTTGTACTGCCCTGAAGGTACTGGAGCAAAACATACTGAGACTCTAGGAATCACTTTCTCTCTCTCGTTACACACACACTTATCTTTGCACAATCTATTACAATAGGTGTGACAATAATTAATGATCGATAATAAGAATGTGTGGTGAAACAAGTATTCTGATGAGAGTAAAGGTTCATTCATGAACTTGGCTAACTCCATCCGCTGATGAAGAAGCTGAGAGCTTCAGAAAAAGCTATGAAGTGGACCATGAATTAAGGATTATTATGTCAAAAGTATTCTGATCTTTAGGTTCAACAAAAACCACAGAATATGAAAATGTAAATGTATGAATGCATTCATGTTACGGAGCAAATTCTAACTACTTTCAGGATGTTTAATCTGTGTAAAACCATTCTTTTGTGTGAAATGTACAATATTTTCCTCAGAAATGTAGTGGAGTAAAAGTGCAAAGTTGCAAAAATTATATATACAAAATGGTAGAGTAAGAGTAAGAGTAAGTCTAAGAGCTATTTAAGTTATTTTTCTGCTCCTGAAGTGAGCTACTTGCATTCTTTCAGGCTATAAAATGCACAGATTTTAAACTGAATTTACAAAATGGTGAAAGATACCCGCAAAATTGGGCTTAGGCGTGGACACAAATAATCAACCATGATAGTTAAAAAAACATCTTTCTTATAGGTTATTTAGATTACTGCCAATAGTCCCAAAAAAAGCCCCTCTACTGGCTGTTCTTAATTCTGATAAGAGAAGAAACAATCACACAGTTAGTGAATGTATGCTAGTATGCTTATTGCTTTACCATTTGCACGAGAAGTTTGTAAAAAGTTAAAATGGCTGCCTGGATTTTATCCGTCACCATAATCTGGTCGTGCTGGGCTCATTGCTCACAAAGTAATTTTCAAATCACTGTAAGTATTTTGGTTTCTATCAGTCAGAGTGAAGATGTAATTAACATGGCAGATAATTGCCATAAGCAAACCGTACGTATATGAAGGCATACAGACAGTTTTCTGACCAGAAAACCCTTCAGTCCTCTGGACTGACTGCTTCAGGACTGTTTTCATTTTTCCTCCTTCGGGTTTTGTTTCCGAAGCTGAAGTCACAGTGCAGAGCTGAGCATAATACGGCCAGCAGTGCAGCGTTAAGTGATTCCAGATGATTTAAGAAATTGAACTCATGTGCAGAAAAAAAATATGTTCCCCTTTCCTTCATGTATCCACACTTTTCTCTGTTGTCATCCTTTCTTTTCTTTCCTGCTTACACTCGCAAAATAAAAGCACTCAGAGAATGTTACCTGTGTTGTGGGTAACATTTGGGCAGGGAAATGTTCTTCTTTTAAAGATGTGATATCAGATTGCACGACTATGGAGGAGAAAAAGTTTGAAAAATTTGGAAGAAAGGCAATCCTGGTGAGAATAGGGAGGAGTCAGAGTCATGATCTTGAATTTTACTGCAGTGAATCAAACAATAAAGACCTCTCTGCATGTGTCACAGAAACTACACTAACAATAGAGCCGATGCTGCATCTATTTGCATCAACACAAGCAACCTCCATCAATTTGACAAATTGTATGATTTGTTGATGCCGTATTTGTCTCAGTGAAAGTGCTTTGTGCGAGGCAGGGAGAGGCTGGGTGGGACTGGGCTGGGTTTAGTGGGGGGAGAGGGTGGAGTCTGACACAAGGGCTGCACACCCACCTCGTGAACTCTCAGGAAGGACGCCCTCAGGGTGGCTACTCTACTCTTTTAACTGGGTGCTTCTCTCCCTCCCACTGCTCAGAGATGTTTAAGGGGAAGCAAGGGGGGATGAAGAACTTCAGCAATGCGCAAGACAGGTAGAGACAGGACACAAATTAAAAGAGAGAGAGAGAGAGAGACAGAGAGAGACAGAGAGAGAGAGAGAGAGAGAGAGAGAGAGGAAGAGACACCAAAGGTGGAGATGTGGCAGACTAAAAGAGAGAGAAACAGTTGATGCATTAACACTCAAACTTTTGAGCTACTTCATGTCTGTTTTTTGGGGAAATTCTATGTTTCTACAGTGGCAACGTGCTCGTCAAAGGAGCGGACACATAATGCACCGTGCCAACAGATTATATAATAAACTACATCACTATTTCTATTGCAGATGATAGGGAAAGCGGACTGCATTCGGCGATGGGGTCTTGTTAAGCGGCTGAGCTCCAGGAAAACTGTTCGTAGGAGGAATGCAGACTGTTGAGTGTCTTGACATGTTGAGGGAGAGGCAGGGGGCTGAGAGGAGGTTTACATCCTCCATACTTTAAATATAGGGTAAATATGTATGATCGCTTTTACCTCAAGATACAAGATTTTTACATTCAACATTTCAGGTTTTCAAGAAAATATCATTCAAAAATGGGGGGTGGGGGGGGGTTCCTGATAGCAAATTTTA